TCTCTCTCTCTCTCTCCCTCCCTCTCTCTCTCTCAGTTTGTGTGTGTGTGTGTGTGTGTGTGTGTGTGTGTTTGTGTGTGTGTGTGTGTGTGTGTGTGTGTGTGTGTGTGTGTGTGTTTGTATGTGTGTGTGTAGAGGAGGAGGAGGGCAATGAAGATGATGATCACAATGACCACAACAACGAACAAGGAGGACTAAGAGAAACCTGAGCACTCTTTTTTGTAATTTAGTTGTGGTGCCCTGAAGTTGGCAGTTGAACTTTGAAGTTCAATGGGCAGTGAACTTCAAGCCTCAGTTACTTTGGCACTTCGTTGTTTGAAGTTGGCCGATGTGATACTCTGTAGAAATGCCCAGGGAACCAGAAGACTCCCAGACAGGTGAACGAAAGTTGGTGCAGGCATTGATGAGGAATTGCGGCATACATGCAGATCATTGCTATGATGAGGACAGCAGTGAAATGGTACAGTCACTCATTCTATATCTGAGCAAATAGGCAAACGAAATGAACTGACCTGCGCATGAAAAGCACAGTAATCGCCACGGCTCCTGGAATATTCACAAACACAAAGCACAAGATAATGCAGCAGAAGAGACAGTCAGCTCATATCTAACTGGAATATATATATGGCCATCTCTCTAAACTGTTGGCTATTTAGTATTTACTGAACTCCACTCTGGGGAACACTTTCCCTGAACCCCTACTTTCAGCGATATGTGGCACTTGACACAGTTCCGTGATTTATCTGGAATATCTATACAAGCCAGATGTCAGACAACAAAACCTCCAGCATGTTTCTTTTTTTTTTTTTCTAATGAAAAGTCCAGCTTGTTCCCCAGCTACGTGTACACGCTTGCCACGTTCCACAGAGTAGTCACGCCGACGGTCGGCGCCCCTGGATTTGTCGGGGGCAGACCAGCTGACCGTTCCACTGGCCGGCACCTACCAGTTGGGAGGCGGGGGGGATTTTTTTATTTTATTTTAAATGGGGTCCAGAATCCCAAATAACCCCATCAACACGCCCATAGCCCCCCCCAACACCCCCATACAACCCCCCAACACCTTCATACCGCCCCCCAACACCCTCATACCCCCCCCCTTAGCCGCCTACAACCACCCCTATGTCCCCCCTATACCTCCCCCACAACCCCTCATACATCCCCCCCATCGCCAAAAGTTTCTCAGTGGATTTGGGCTGTACTCAGCAAGCTCAATACAGAACTGAACTCAGATTTGAAAAAAAAAAACAGTGGATGGCCCTCTACAGACTGCCGACCAGTCCGCCTATGGGTCAGCCAACTGGTAGCCGAGCCGACGGCCTACGATTGGTGTCGGCCGTGGGCGGTCTGACAACCCTGATGTTCGATATAAATGCCCATTACCGATTAGCTCACATCTTCGAAAAAATAAAATAATAAACCAGAAGATATGTTACATTGCCTGATACGCTATAGAGAGGCGACGGAATACTGGGCGAGGGCCTCGGACCTCTGGGATTCCCTCTTCTCGACCCCCCTCCCTGAACACCCCGTCCAACTCCTATGGACTAACTAGATGACCTGTTGCGGCTTCGCTCGCAAAAACAAAAATGA